CCTGAACCCTAAACCAGAACCCCTAAATCCTAGACCCCAAACCCTAAACCGTCCAATTATCAAGTCCCAAGGCTCCGTATGTCGCGTCTCAGGCACACTCCGCAACAACTTGAGACTACCGGGCATACCTCGCGCACACACACACACACACACGTGTATATATATATATGTATATACACAAGGTGCAGTATACGCTGCACACTATGGAATCTATATTATGTGCGTTGGGCACTGCCCCTGGCTAGTAGCAGTCTGCAATAAGGTTTTTTGTGTATATTCCTATAATACAAAGCTTTCCCCAATTTTTTAATGGAAGGTCACGATACCCGACCTTTACAGGAAATGCTGGGTTTCTCCAAAAGGGAGGCCCTTGGGGATGCCAGGGAGAGATGGGGACTTGGAAGGGATTTCATGGGTTTAGGGTTTAGGTTTAAGGCATTACATGATCATCTTGTGACGTTCCATTTTGGGTGCGGAGTTTGCAATTCCGGCACCTAATGACAAAATAATGGAGACATGAAAACTGGGACTACCTGAAACCTTAAACCCTAAACCCCAGCATTCCAAAGGTGTCTGGATGGGCAATTACCAAGCGGGCCCCCTTGCAAAAGGCTTGTATCAAGAGAAGTCAAAGTACATGGAGGCCATATTTGGCTAGTATTAGGCTTGATGCCCTCTCCTAACCTCACCACCATGATATATTACATGATGGTACCATATTGAGGGCACTGTTGTTAAGGGGGATTTGGGGGGGCGTGTTTTTGTTTCAATATTAGGGGTGGTAGTTGCTGCGCACTGTACAACCCTGGCGCCAACTACGTGAACCAATCGATTTTGCATTTGATTTTGGATTACTGCGAGAATATCCCTAAAGCCTAAGCCCTAAATTATGTAGCCATGTGTTCTGGCGAAGAGCTTCAGGCTCAAGGGAAACCGCATCTGAGCGTTGCACCCTCGAAGTTCGGAAGTGGAGAAAGGTTTAGGGCTTGGGGTTCAGTGCTTCGGGGATCACTATGGATCACTGGAGACCAGTGCGAATCCTATCAGAAAATCCGACGGAGCACGTTCAGAGAAATCATGCGAAGGCCTGATTTATGTTTTCTTTGGCAGACCGAGTGCGAGCGGGACACGATTCTTCGAAAGACCAGGAATCTATCCGCTTGGGATTGAGGAGTGTAGCGCCATGTATGATGCGACGAAAACCCCACTCGAAACTTCGACTCTCAATGTGCGCCGAAAACACCCAAAAAAACCAGATAGGAGCCACGAACCCGAATGCAGACACGTGTCACGTACATGCAATGATAATAACACCCCACGAGCGAAACCACTTAGGAGACTTAGGCCCGGGGTCATCCCTTTCTCCTCTTCCTCCTCCTCTCTCTTTTCTCCTCTCTCTTTCTCCTCCTCTCTTCT